TAGAACCCCATCAATTACCTAGGAAATATAAGCCAGAAAGGCAAGAGTTTTAGGCGTTGTTCTAGTTTGTTTTAAGTTTTGCAAAATCTGATTATAAAAAGTGATTATAAAGAATAATCAAAATGAACAATAGCTCTCATTAGGTGATTATAGATTTTGGGCTTGTTCTTGATTGATTATATCAACCGATTATAGATTCTGATTTTGGATAATCAATTTTTGTAATGTTCTTGTTTGCTTTTGTGTTCAGATTATAAATTTTTAATAATAAAAAAGCTATTTACATCAACTAACTGCCTATTAAATAAACATTTTTAGTAGTCAATTACTGTTGGGTTGTCAAACTAGCAAAAATAAAATTCCTACTGTAAAAATATATAATTTGAATATAGTGGTGAGTAGAGTTGTATCTATAGGAATTGGGTGATTTATTTTCTTAGAGAAACAATAAGTAAAATGGGGGACTGGTAGGAAATTAATCTAACTAATCAAATTAAATAAAGACAAAAATACAAAATTAAATAAAGACAAATTAATAAAAGACATCACTAATCAAAGGTCTAATCTCTACTTTGGTTCACTTTACTCATCATCGATGCAAAGGTAAAATTTATTTATTTATAAATAAATTGGTTATGGTTGTCAACAAGCTCTGACAACCTATCTTTCCTTATTGTTTCGATAATCACAACAAATTCTGTGATTATTTCCCTTACTAATTAAGCAACCCTAAACAAACTTTTAGAATTCAACCTATTGACAACATTAATAATTAAAGAAGCTGCCAATTCCAACCAATAAACACACAAGTTCGGTTCATTTAAACTAGATTATTTATTCCCATGATATATATTCAAAATTTGCTATTACAATCAAATTATATCACTCGCCACAAAAACTTAAACTATGAAACAATTATTGATTTGGTATTTTAGATGGCAATAAATTATTCTAATAAATAAATAGTGGCCAGTTATTTAATCGTATAAAACAATCATGTTACTAACAAACAGAAAATATATAAATATTTATAAATAAATGAAACAAACAAATCAAATTAGATCTCACAGTATTTGTCGAACCAAAGATTTGATTATCCTCTAACTAGAACAAGAAACTAACTCTCCTCATGGTAGATTCATAGCCAAAGAAAAGCTAGAGTTTATTGTTAAGTGAAAGTGATGAAAAGGAAGTCCCGTCAAGCACAACTAATGTGACTAATATATGATAGTACCTACGGTTTCCTTCTTTTAAAAAGGATAAGAATCCTTTTACTAATATGATTCTAATAAATATTAAAACTAATAAAAAGGGAAACTAAATATATCATCTCTAAACTAATAGTATCCAACTTCAAAAGGGAAATAAAATCTCTTCCTAGTTGATCAGTAGAAAAAAATGAAGCAGGGCCCCCTTTAACTCTAGCAACATCCAGACTTTTTAGCAAATTAAAATGTGGTCGTGCGTTATAGAAGAATGTCTTCTGGTAATTCAACCTTTAATGCACTTTTTCTTTCAAAAGTCCTATAAACATTGTCAAACACCAAATATGAGTAGAATTTAATATTTAACACCACATTTTACCATAATTAAGGGGAAATATGTATAAATAAAATGCACAATTAACTCCCTAACAATTACATCAATCACAGCAAAATTTCTAATGAAATTCTCAAGATACCCGAATTTTTAGTCAAATGGCATTAGTAACAATAGTTTCAGTCATTGGCGCAATTTCTTTAACCACGCCTATTATATTTTTGCATTAAAAACCCATTTCCATGTCAAGTTCAAAAATCAAACTATGTTTTTCCAAGAAAATAAAAAATAAAAAAATAATAATTTCAAATCCACCTCTAAGCATTATTTTTTAACAAAGGCACCTATTCTGAAATCATGAGTAAAAGTCAAATAAAGAAGCTTATCTCGAAACAAGAATAAAAGTTTAATATGATGTTCTAAATAAAAGATCATATAGTCTAGCCAAACATATTGCACACCAAATTATATATTTGAATAAAATATCATTGCAGGAAAAAGTGGAATGGAAAAGTGTGGTAGCGACTCAAAATAAGCCAAAACGAGAAAAAAAAAAAAAAAAGGAGTACGCAAGGGTCTTTCCTCAAATACTTTTTTTAAAAATTTTTTTTTCCTATTCTTAGTAGTTAGAAATCAATTGTTTCCTCTTAATTTGGTTTCATTTTTTCTTTGACCAAATTAAGGGATAATCCAATAAATAGTTAGTTATTGAAGCATTAAATTGCATTCTTGTGAAAATATAAGGTTATTTTTTGTAATTTGACCGATTGTCATGGAAGGAAAATGTAGGTTCAGTAGATGGTAATTTTATAACTTAGAGTAGTTGGCCACCAAAAGAATTTTAGATCTCTACCTACATTCCAAATATCCAGGCTTCCTTGAAAATTTCACCAATAAGTATGTAGACACCTGTTTGCACCGGTGGTGGTTTAGTGTCTTCCGAATTTTCCTTTGACCTCTTTAAATCCCCCCTCCCCTAGTATAGAGAGTAGGAGTAGATGTAAAAAAATAAAGAAAGATGGTAGTGTTCCCCCCTTACCCGGTATAGAGTAGGAATCCATCACTTCTAGAGGCTATAGATCATGTATAGCTCTCATAGTATGGTTAGTTGAGGTAGTGAATGTACAGCTCTTACAGACATCTGGTATAGCGAGCCGATTGTTTCTGCTAGGAAGTATTCCTTCCTCTATTCAATAAAAATAGTTACTTTCTACCTAAAAAAAAAAGCGTAAACTAGACGATAACTTTTAGCATAGACTTGGAGAACGAAAACTTCAATTTTATTCCTTTTTACAACTTAAGTGAGACTTCTTTTTTTTTTTTTTTTTTTTTTCTACTTTGGTAGGAATGAAATCAGTGTGGCTGGCCTTACATGGATAAATCTCAACATGGAAAGTTGATGAATATTATTATCACTGGACATTAAATTTTGAGAAGACTAGTGAGATATGCTCTTGAATTAAAAGCAGGACTAGTGTTTCTTTGGGTGTCATTTCTGAACTTCACATTTCTTTTTAGAGTAGCCTCTCGGAGCATAGAAAAGGTACAACATTGCTTTCCTTTCTGATTGACTACGTATCTAATTCAATTCTCTTTATTTCTTTCCCTTACGTTTTCTTTTCTGCTAAAGGTTGATGTACTAACTGATGTAAACTTAACTTGCATTTTAGTGGTCATTCTTCTGTAAAACAAAGATAGGGATATGCTTTAGGATAGAAAGCTATACAGAGATCTTCAGAGGTGAACTGGTGTTTCATTTATTTAATTTTTTTTTTCAAAAAAGAAGAGAAAAAATTCAAAATGAAAACTTATATTTTTTGTTAGTGATTCAAAGTCGATGCAATTCATTTCAAGTTCAATTTTGTTTTCTAATGTATGCATTACCTATTCAAGTTAGTTGTGGGATAGCATTTTATGATATAACACAAAATAGCTTAGTTGAAAAAATCATGTGATTTTACAAGTAACGCTCATCGTAAATAGTTGATGGTAAAACCGTACATCCACAGCTTGGGGGTGGGGGTCAGGGTTGGGTTTGAGGGCAGGGATCTTAAAAGACATACAAAAATGGAAAGAAAATTGAAATCTTTGGAAAATTCGGTACAAGTCAGGCTGACTTTTGGACGATTACACAATTAATGTCCAATTAATTAATATGCATTAATTAGTTGAAGGCAATATTGTTCTTATTATGATATTTACTATTTAATGCAGTCACCATAATCTTCCATCTCTTGGCGCTGTACAATTATTTGCACCTCATCAATATATTTTTGTATTCATTTTCTTTATTCTTTGAGCAAATTTGTATTTATTTTCACCTACGAAAGCTACGAGGCAAAGCAATTTAAGTAATTTCTTAGAAAAACACAGAGTCCAAATTAATGTTACCAACTGCATCTATAGTTTGTATACTAATATATAGTCCTCTTCATTTGCCAACTAATAGTTGACTTGAGCATATTAAGTTATGACTTATTTAAGCTTGATCATATTGTCATATTAAGTTTCTCACACACAAACACACACACACACACACATATATTGCTGTTGGATTGAATCAAAATATTGTTTGATTCCATGATCATGTATTTAGTTAAGTGCCTGAATCCCAATGAATCTTGCTTTTTCCTTTGCTAGTATCCATTAAATTAAATTACGAAAGAAAATCAGTACATGCGTAAACTAACAACTAATAAACAAACTAGCGAAACAAATTGCCCGGTTTTTGCCTTGATCTTCCCAAGTAATCGACGTGCCATCTTCCCAAGTATAACTCCAACTATTGATATACAACAATCTTTGGTAGTTCCTTTCCATATTACCAAAGAATCAAACAAAATATTCATGTCTTTTTACAACCCATCCTTCCTAGAACTATACCATGGTCAAGTATGAAGTCTTTGTACTCCCTGTCTCTCTCTCTCCAAATAACACTTGAAAGCTAAGGACAAGACAACTACTCCTATAAATAAGTCATTGCTTATGCCAAATTGCCAATTGACTACTCCTATAAATAAGTCATATACACAGCTACAGTAAGGCTAATGCCGAATTGCCAATTAACTGTGTAAAATTCTGTGACAAACTGCATAGTCATTGCTTATGATTATCATATACAACTAACATACCTAAGATTCATTACTTATGAATTATGAACGTGCTCATGTATATTGTGGTTTGCTTGCTCATTTGTGTTTCATGTTAGATTGTTGTTCTGGGGTACCGACATTTTGTATTTGTGTGTGATGCCAACCTTGTGGCAATCTTATCTGCTTTGAGATTTTATTGCGGATGCTGAAGTGTTCATTTATGTCAAATTGAATATGTGTAGTGTTTGTTCAATAACAATGAAACACCATTTCTTTTGTTAGTTATCACCTTGACTAATTTTAATCATTTGAAGAAGTGAAAGCCACACAAGAACGGAGAAGAAACAGGCCGTTGAGAGCAAGGAAGACATGCAATCCTCAGACAGAAGCTTGGCAGATATGCAATCTGACATGCTTTTGGAGATGTTTGCTTCCTTCACCATGATAGAAATTATTATGAGCATTTCTGCTGTTTGCAAATGCTGGAAATCGCTTTCTTCTGAGCTAACAATGTGGAAAACCTTAGACTTGACCATGTTCAGAGACTACTTTAGATCCCAACACTTGGAAAGAGCTAATGAACGTGGGTTACTATTCTTCAAGGCTGCTCTAAATCTTGGTGGCCACAAAACGGAAAAACTTAAGTTTGATATTTCACCCGATATGAAAGATGGGCTGTTGGTCTATGCTGCTGAAAGGTACTTTATTTGTGAATCATTTCTTGTGCATTGCTAGGATCTAGGCCCTATTCTTACCTGTTTAACATTTTTTTTTTTTTTGCAACTGACTAAAAGTTTTGTATTTGAGAAGAAGTTAAATACGTGCATTTGTTTCAAACTTTTTATGAAATGGAATGTTGTTTGTCAAAGTATCTATGGTCACTTCTCATAATTGACCAAGAGTACACGATACACTTTGAATTTATTTTTATCTTAAAACAAGAAAAAGAGGAAATTTGTAATTCCTTATGCAAGTTAAAAACAAATTAAAACCCTTATATTAATCTAGTTTTTAGGGTAAGAAATCTATAATCTAATGGTAAATAACTGATAAATTGACAATTTAGAAACTCTTTTTCAAGTTTAACTTTCATATATACTAACACAGCATTTCTATGTAGGTGCCCCCATCTGAAACACCTTTTTCTTCCATCTTTACTGTTATTAACAGACCAAGGGCTATCGACAGCTTTTGAATTGTGGGGAAGTACTCTTGAAACTCTCATTATTTCACTCTATACTCGTCAGCCTTCTGCCAGCATATTTCAAATCATTGGTCAAAACTGCAAGATTTTGACAGTGCTCATGCTTCGTGTATGCGATCTTGATAATCAAATTTCTTCCACCATAACCAATTGCTTACCAGGGTTGAAGGTCTTCGTTCTTCGATGTGATGCTACAGAAAAGGACGCCCTGAAGAATTTACTAGACGGTTTGGCAAACCTTGACGAACTCTACATCTCCATCAGTGCCATTGCACTAGCAACAGACCCTTTTGGATTATCCGAAATTCTGGCACCCTTCCAAGATGAATCAATTGTCCAGAAAGCTTCCATGCTTCGAGTATTTCATTTTTGCCTAGGAACTTGTGCAAAAGTTCTAGGTTAAATTGTCCTTGCCTAGTTAATTAATGAATCATACTGCACAATGACTTAATCTAATAAGTGCAGTGTTGCAACCATGGAATGTCTTGCTTCCTTGGAAACTCATTATTATTTATGCTCTCTCATATTTGGTGCGCATCTTCCTCAACAATATATCTTTGGGTAACTTCATTGGTTTTACAAAGTGTTTCTGAGAATCTTTGCATGAAAACTTTGACATCATTACAAAAAATTGTCTTATTACATTATTTTTTCATGGCATATGGACTTAATATTCATAATTATAACATTGCAATATAACAAGAATGAGCCCTCTGTCCCATCAATAACATACTAGTTCACTTTTGAGTGTCCAGAATTATTTGCATGTATGACATTTGAAGTACTCTAATACTTAGCTTTCATATTCCTTTCAAAGACCCTCTGACATGATTAGACAAAATTTGCACATTTAACTTATTTGTTGTATAAGTAAGTTTTTATCAACCACAGATATATAACCATCTCAATTTATAATTCCTTCTAAAAATGATTGGTCCAGCCCCAATCAATAGGAAAAGATAGAGCATGGCAAACAATTTCATGGTGGCCTGAAGCTATTGTAGCAAGGGGCGCAGTATTCCGGTAATAATATTTTCTAGCCAAGTTTCAGCTTTAAACAAATGCTTTGGTTGACTTTCACCAACAAAATCCCCAACTCCCTTTCCCTAATTCCGTTTGGCCATAGCCTAAAGCTCATGCATTCAACAACCTAATATTACATAGCATAATCTAAAGAAAAAAGCCGTGGAATCTATCAAATTGTAGATATGGCTTTAAGTAGCCCACTCGAATATATATGGCAAGTTGCAAGTCAATTTTTGCTAATCTATTCGACTTCTGCGGCAATACATGCCATTAGACCATAACCCAAAGCTCATAAAGAGCAAAATGCAGTATTAAATACCACAATCCACAAATATAATCTCAAATAGCCATAATTACTCATTTAAAAGTACTTGTCCACATTTCCATGGCGATTTACTACAAGTAGATATTAACCTACCTGAATAATTTGAGTTTCATTCAATTAAAGTCAAATTCCTTTGTGGGTTCTTTGGGAATGTATTGATCATTGTAGAGGAATAATCCATTGAAAAATATGGCAAATTGCAAGGCAATTTTTTTGCCAATCTATGCAATTGCGGTTATAGGAGCATCCCTGTATTGTCTTTTCATATTCTCTGATGTTTATAGCTCCTCTTCCTCCTCTTTTTCCCTCTTGTCCAGTAGTCCAGGCCAAAGCCAGGCATCCAATTCATCTCATAGGACTAATAGTGGGAATCCTTCACTGGCTCCCATTTCCAGGATGGAAAACAAATTAGTCAAACCTATCTGGGCGGTCCCTCCGGCTGGCTCTCAGAAGATGCCTCCTCGTAAGGCCTTCAAATTGAGCAAGAAGTTGGTTCAACAAAGAGTGAAGGATAACATTATAATAGTTACCTTTGGTAACTATGCTTTCATGGATTTCATCTTAAACTGGGTAAAGCACCTGACAGAATTGAGTATCGAAAATCTTCTTGTTGGTGCCATGGACACAAAACTGCTGGAGGCTCTTTATTGGAAAGGAGTACCAGTTTTTGATATGGGTAGACAAATGAGCACAATAGATGTTGGCTGGGGCTCACCAGACTTTCAGAAGATGCAAAGGGAGAAAGCTATTTTGATAGATGCTTTCCTCCCTTTTGGTTTTGAGCTGTTGTTGTGTGATTCAGATACGGTTTGGTTGAAGAATCCCCTACCATATCTAGCACGTTTCCCTGATGCAGACATATTGACATCCACAGATCAACTTATACCAACAGTCGTGGATGACAGTTTGGACTTCTGTGAGCAAATTCAGTTTGCATATAATGTAGGTTTATTTCATTGGCGGCCGTCAAATTCCTCAAAAAAATTTGTAAAAGAATGGATAAAACTGATTCTAGCGGATGAAGGGTTATGGGATCAACAGGGTTTCAATGACATTATTCGCCGGCAACTTGGCCCATCTGTTGATCAAGATAGTAAACTTACTTATGCTTATGATGGAGAGCTGAAGTTGGGTTGTCTCCCAGTAAGCATTTTTGGTGGTGGGCATACTTTTTTCGTCCAAAAGATGTATCAACATCTTGGACTCGACCCTTATGCAGCGCATGCAACATTCCAGACTAGTACTGAAGCAAAGCGTCACAGATTCCGAGAAGCAAATCTTTTGTTCGATCCACCAAGTTACTATGATGTCCCTGGAGGGTTCTTGACGTTTAAACCTTCTATACCCAAGAATTTGTTACTGAATGGAGAGCATAATATTCAATCACACTTTTCTCTTGTTAATTACCAAATAAAACAAATTAGAACTGCATTTGCTGTTGCTTCATTGCTTAATCGTACATTGGTAATGCCTCGCTTATGGTGCCGGATGGATAGTGTTTTTTTTGCACATCCTAGAGATTTGACAGGCAGTATTATGAGACAACCTTTTATCTGTCCTTTGGATTATGTATTTCAGGTTAACATCATGGTGAAAGAATTGCCAGAAAACAAATTCGGACCTTCGATCAGATTTAGGGAGCATTCTTTATTTGACAATCCATCCATGCCCCAGAAGGTGAAAGATTCATGGCTTGATGTAGATCTTTGTCAAGAGGGGTCACAAGGCTGTCAAGTTTCATCAAACACTACAAGAAGTCAAACAGGAGTCCTCAAATTTCCCAAAAATAGCTCTGAACAAACATACACGACCGTATTCTCATCCTTCAAAACTGTCAAAGTCATTCAGTTTTCATCAATGCGAGATGCCTTCGCAGGTTTCGCTGACAAGCTCAAGGAAGAAAAGTTCAGGAGCCGCATGAAGGCATATATGGGTAGATGGTGTTGCGTGGAAGATCACGATCCACCCCACATATACTATGACATCTACTGGGACGAAAAGCCTGATTGGAAACCTGAACCACCTCAGACCCCTGAAGATGACCATCCACCTTCTTAAGGCTCTTACTCTTGTCTGTGATGATGTTGCTCAATGTGTATAATGCTAGAGATGTCTTAATACCTAAAGTCAAATAATGTTGTTACTTGTTAATTTTGCCCTTGGATTAAGTACTTTTAGCATTCTTTCCATAATTGGTAACAGATATTCATATTGTCTAGGCCAGCACCTGGCATGGTTAAGCTTCATAGACCAAAAAAAATTTTTTTGGTAAATTACACCCATTACCATGTGATCCATATAACATTTTAAACATCTAAATAATGCCCATATGATTCTATATAAAGTAAAAATTTAATAGAAAGTGGCATTCGTGACATTGTTTGCATAAAATAGGCGCGAATTAGTTTGCGTAAAACTATGGAAGAGGCAAGACAATAAAAGGATAAAGTAAATATTATAATTTCATTACATGCATTTCTAGTGTTTCTTATCCATTTTTTAGATGAAATCACAATATGCAAGCTCTTGCAACTTGGATCAATATCTTGAAAGATAGCCATGGGATCTAGACAACAATAGAGAATACAAGGCTTGTTCTATACATGACTAGAATTTTCTAGGATTACTTAATAATTTGCACATGTTCAATTAGGTAACATTTATAAGCAACCAAATTCGCTTTTCTGGCATATATTCGTGAACTTTTTTATTGTACCACATGCTAGAAAATTTCTATCTTCATCATTTCTTCTTCAGATAAAAAGGAATTTGATCCCTGTCACAAGAGGACACTTAGATGAAATGAGAACTAAATAAGCGAAAGAAAATGAAGTATAGAACAATAATACCGTTCACACATGTTATGCAAAAATCTCTACTTCACAAAGATGCTATAATTATCTAACCAATAAAATCAAGATTGGTTTTCTAAAGTTGTAAAACCTAAAATTTTGATAATTTTTGGAAGTCAGCGCCTCGCATCAAAAGATTTAGTGTCTTATCAAAGGACTTTAGCATGTGAACTTGAAAATAGAAACTTATATTTGGGATTATTAACGAAAAGGAAGAAGTTAGCTAGTTAATTTTCTATGTACTCCACATCCCACAAATCCTGAAGGGACTGCAAAGTAGATGCCATTTGATAAAAGAAATACATTATCAGGTTGACTGAACAATAAAAATGTTTCTCATGTCATGAATTATGTGGTTGATTGAATAGGCAGTTTTTGAAAAAATTTGATTCACATTTATAACTCTACAATATTGCAATTATAGCAAGTAGCTAGAATCTAACAGGAAATCAAAAACTGCTACTAAAATTTGGATTGAGGATTTCTTGGCAGAGTTTTAGCTCAGGATGCTATATCATGCTTATGCTAGATTAAAATCTTAATTCAATTTGTAGTTGGATGAACTAAAGGCGGGGCGAGATTATAAGGAAAATGTATAAGAAGAAATGAGAAAGCACTCATCAAATTATTTGTCCAAGGCAGAGCATTTCTCATGGATTCTGCTAATAAGCGCATGGCACACAATAAATTTCGTAAGTTTGGTGCAAAAGCAGTCAAAAAGTATAATTGAAGTACCTCATTGGTGAACCACAGTGCGTGTATATACATACATGTATACATACATACATATATACGTACATACATACATGCATACATAACTAGTTAACCAACTTTGCATCTCTGCTGAAAGAAATGTTAGGGGCGTGGAACCAAAATTCAAGGAAATAGATACTATTATCAGAACAAGTATTTAAAGAAAGTGCAAGTGCATTAGGTCACTAAACTATTGAAAAATTTCAGTTCATCCACTGGACTTCTATTTGTGTCAATTTGCCCAAGTGCAATTTATTGGCCACCCTGTTGGTACCCACGGTTATCTTAGACCGAATTAGAAGCACGTGACATGCACATCTCAGTCATCAGGAGCGTTTTCGTCCAAAGTAGAATGAGTTGACACAATAAAAAACTTCAGTGGGCAAAATAAAATTTTACTTGCAACAATCTAGTATTGTTATTATTGTTAATAAACCAAGGGGTTGACCCAATGGTGAATTCTTAGAGTTCTTTCTGTTAGCAGGTTCAAAATTCAAATTTTAGACCCAACAGTTGAGAGTGGGAAGAGTACAGGGAGCGATAGATTGTTAAAAAATAATAGTATCATTATTATCATCATCATTATCATTATAATTATAATTTTTGGTTGTTGGATAGAATTTTCATTGGTCAATGTCGCATAGATTAGCATAGATAAACTTGGATTTGTATGGATTGAGGACTTCAAAATTTGGACAAAATTTAACAACAGTTTGTCTTTCAATATTCTTAACAAAACAAGAGTAAATCCAAATAAATTAATTATAAAATTCTTTATGTTTAAGTTATATCTAATTAAATGAATCATGAGGTTATCGGTACTCTGGAGGAACCTTTATTTATTCATTGGCAAGTAATATATTCAATTGATAATTCATAAATCAAAATTATGTAAAAAATTGACTTTTACTTTATATGGGAAACGTAAACTAACTCATATACCTGGCACTATTTTCATGGATTAAAATTAATTTTCACACCTCTAACCTTGTAACACATAATTTAGCTCCACAAATTTGTTCAATATTTAATAAGAACAATGAAAATAAATAACTATGCGAGAGAAGCACCAATCACACATAAACATAAACAATGGTAGAAAAGTTTTCAATGTTACCTATTCAACTTTTTCTGAGTCAATTTGCCCACTGAACACCTCAAAGTGTACTATTTTCATCATTCAATCTATAACGGAATGAAAATGCCCTAAGATGATAGACTGTGCATGCCACATGTTTTCAGTTCTAAGAAAACAGTGGCAATTAACGGACTTGATACCAAAAAAAAAAAAAAAAAAAAAGTCGGTGCATTGCGATTTTTTGTATTCTTTGGTGCGTGCTGAAGGAGTGATGAATGAAGAACTTGTCCTAAGTGTGAGAATAAAAGACCAAAAGACATGCAGCCAAAAAAAATCAGCAATTACATGATCTTTCAATTTCAGTTTCCTGTTTATCTCTGTTTTCATCAGTAACTTCATTAGTTGTAAATTTGTGTTCAGGTTTTTTTTTTTGAAATCCTATTCCTGTTTATCTCTGTTTTCATCAGTAAATTCATTAGAGGGGGGACGCCTTCCTCTGCTGTTTCTTGTTGTGTGTCTACCTGCTGTTATTGTTTCTTGGCGAAAATAACGTTAGTAGGATTCGAATCCTGACCGACACCCCCCTAAAAGAACTTGAAATTCCCTTGGTAGCTAATGGACCGAGAACCAGTGGTTATAGTCTTACTTTTCCTCCAGTCTTATCAATTAATGCATCTCATCAATTGTATCAATTTCTGTTTATTGTGAAAGGCTAAGTAGAAATCAAGTTCGCGATTTCGTTTGACCTTTCAGAAGAAATTGAAATTGAAATTCAATCGAAGTTTTGTTTTTCCGAAGTTGATGTTATATATATCCGTTATTGGTCTTTTGCATAGTAATTTTAAATTTTGAGTTTTTAAGACAAATAAATATTAACAATCGTCTCAGAGTCTGAAGTTATTTCGACACAAAATTTTAATTTTATTAGTGCTATCAATCCGGATCAGTGCATCTCAATTGTATGCATTTCTATTCGTAGTGAATATTGGAGCTCACATCAAGTTTGCCAGCTCCTTTGACCTTTCTGAAAAATCTAGCTTGTCACATACTTTGCACGTTAAATTAATAACCCAAGATGATGATGATGATAATAATAAGGGAAAATTACACTTTACCCTCTTGTGGATTAGCGATTTTTCACATAACCCCTGTATGATTTCAAAAATTATGCATAACCCCATCAAGTTTTGCAGCAATATTCTTTACCATGTTTCAACTTCAAATAAATGCATGCTTTTGTTGGCTATCATCATCATAATTCCAAACTTCCTTTCCCTAAACCATGGCCTAAAGATCATAAATGGTAAAAAGTTAGTTGATATGGGTAGACAAATGAGCTTAGTAAATGTTCGATGGGGCTGAAACAAGACTAAATCCAACTAAATTAATTATGAAATTTTTTATGTTTAAGTTATATCTTATTAGGAGAATTGAGTTAGGTGGTAACATATAAGCAATTGTAACATATCTTAACCAAATATTTTTCCCTTTGGGTTCTTTTCTTGACTTCATAGCAATAAACGAGTCTCCTCTCTCGAGCCTCTCTATACACCAAACCAATGGTACATTGGTTTGCTTTTCGTGTTTAACTTGAACTTTGTTAAATTTTTTTTAATTTCTTTCATTTTCTTTTTTCCTCCTGCTAAACATGTATTAACTTATATACACTTTGAATGTGTTTTAGTGGTCATTCTTCTATAAAACAAAGGATATGCTTAGAATAGAAGGCTATATATCAACAGAGATCTTGATCACATGTAAATTGATGTTTCATTCCCCAAAAAGAAATAAAAATGGTAATAAACTTAGCAGTGGATAGAAGTGTTTAATTAATACAAGAGAAAGTTTGTTTAGCTAGAAAAACCAGTGATTTAAAAGTAATCTGCAATGTAAATGGTAAAACCAATTTGAGGGGGTTCCATCTAATCAAAAAGATTATTCTGTTTTTCTGTCTAGGAAAAGTACGAGGTGAAGCAATTTAAGTAAACTTTTTCTACTAAAGTCCCAGTTCAAACTTAGAATCCCAAATCTACATCTACAGTGTAAATTAAGGGAATGTTCTAATGCCAATTGTTATCATTTGCGACAAATTGGATATCCATTGCCATGGACCAATTGATATAATTTCTTATCAAACCTGAGATTCATTAGCTTCTCATATATTGTCATCAAACAACCAGCCCTTTTTTTTTTGAAGAAAAGATTATTTCATTCAATAAATCTACACTAATGACAGAAAATATATCAAACAAAACATAATATCATCAAATTAACTCATTGCTTTAAGATTTGATTGCTGATATGCTAAAGTGCAAATCTTTCATGGCAAGATGAATATATGTAGTATTTCTTCAGTAAGCATAAAAGTCAAAACCTTGATATTATGCTGTATCGTACTATTGGTTCGTAATCCATAATCTTAGTTCAAATTTTCTTATGCAAAGCTCTAATTATGTCTTATCATACGAAAACAAAAAAAAAAAATAGCATCGTCTAATTTATTCCATTGAATGACCTTCTCACATGGTTAGACAAAA